AAAGAAGACTTCTAGAACATCAAGCCTTACATTCGCGTTGCATTCCAGTGCTTACAGAACTCCTTTATCCATGTGTGGGGTGCAACCCACAAAATAAGCCTATGCTAGGAATCATTTTTTGCCATCCCCATGCAAGACCTAAGATCCAGGAGTTCATGAGGGGAGAAAACTAAGACTAGAACCCAGTTTCAAGGGGCCCAGAGCCCCTCCTCTACCTCAGTAATAATGAACGCTACACAAATTGCCTTTTCATCTCACTTCTAAACACTAGTGCCCTATAGTCAAGGTAATATAACCAGTTTAAGAACTAAAAGTACTTTAAACTAAATTATAGCAGTGCTTAGCATAACATTACAAACAGCTCATTGAACCAGGGCAATTTGTTTGCAGGGGAGGCAAGCAGATTCTCTGCATAATAGAGCAGTGCAGCTGCTAATAGCAGCCGCTGAAATAAAGGATGGGGTTCAGGGGGTGGGAGCCTCATTTATAGACAAGTAGTAGACCCTAATGAAAGTGCATTTTGGCCCTATCATCATCCCCTTGAGAAAATTCTCCACGAGGTTTTCCATTTGAATCCTGGGCATATTTATAAAGATCAAAGTAATGGCTTTTTAAAATTAATTACATGAATTTGTAGCTCAACAAAATTGAGTGAAAGGCGGGTGTTGTACCCCATGCCTTGTTACAGCTGTACATCACACGCATCAAAAGCCCAAGACGCTGGGGAGAACACGTTCCCGCTGCACCAGGCCCCAAGCAGCCGGGACAGACATGGAAAGAGTACAAAAGATCAGTCCCCAAAGTTGTTGTGACAGCTTAATTGTATTACAGTGCCCAGATAATTCCCATTTATTTGGCTTTTTCCTCAGTGCAAATGCTGGCCCCCCAAGCATAGCTATTACCAGGAGAATTAAGAGCCGCAACTTTGATGGGACCCCTCTCTCTCTCTAAAGCTGTCCCTGCTCAAAAGTCCTGGTAATTGTTCCACATTGATCAGGACTTCCCTCCAGCCCTCTGCATGCTGAGACCTGGCAGCAGCTAACTAATTGCAATTAAAATCTGCCACGTGAGTGGAAGAGAATAACATAAATTAATCAGTACATTAGCAGAATTACATTTAAATGTTCAAATGTGCATCCAACATAGTGGGACATTTTAAATTATAAAGCAAAGTACTTCATTATGGATGCTGATATTTTAATGAGGAAATGTGATGTTTGGTTAAATGGGAGTACAATATAGAGAATTCCTTAAAATTAGCATCAATGATGCATTTTAATTCAAAAAAACAAGTTGTGGTCTGTGTAATTCCTGCATATCAATGTGAAAAAATTGCCTGGAGCTGTGGAAACAGTTGAACATCTCATTCTCTGAAGAATTAATAATTTCAACCGTACTAACTAGCACTTTATGTAAATTGTCAGATAAATCACAGCAATAAATACAGGTTTTAGAAGAACAGAACAGTATGCTTATCCTTAATTTATTCACTCATCAATTCATGTATACTGAAGCTAAGGGATATGAAAGATTCAACATACCAGGCCAAGAAAGAAAAAAAGGAAAAAAAGAAGAAAATGTCTTCTATAGAAGACAGAATAAAGAATAAGAATAAAGCTCCCATCTAATTCTACCAAAATCTGGCATATAAAAATTGCTCTATGATGCATGTAAATATAAAAGAGGGATTAAAATTTCTATTACCTTTATTTGTAATTGCACACAAAGCTTCAAAGTGACATATACACTAAAGTCCTTCTTATAGTTTCTTATCTAATTGTGTTAGCATACAGTATATACAATATACATACATGTAAAGGGCTGTGTCAAATTGCCTTTGTAATTTGTATGTAAATTACAATTACTTTAAATCTTTGATAGAGGAGGCACAAACCCAAAGACACAAATGATAGATACAGACCTGTACTTGGTTTGCCATTGCTATCACTGGTTAGAGAAAAGGCAAATCCAAAGAAGACAAAAATCCTTCTCTTCTCGGTTATCTTGTCCTTTGTAAGTTGCAAGAGGAATTCTTACTAGATTTTGTGATATCGCAAAGACAAGCCATGCTGGGGATGCTGCTCAGTGGTAGAACACTTGCCTAGTATGTGTGAGGCCCTGGGTTCTATCCTCAGCATCATAAACAGAAAAAAAAAAAAAAAAAAGCCAGGACAGGGAAGGTTTTTGGGTTTTAACAACTACGAACATATGTAGAAGCGTATTACCATTCTAGTACATATGAAAGTATTTATTTACAAGTACTCAAATGCACAGCTGAAATGAAGTGTCGATAAACAATACCAAACATAGATCAAATTAACATGAAAATAAACCTGTCTTCCGTGATATGTGTTCTCAAGTTTGAAACCCTACCTGTTCCCCCTCTAAGCCCCACTCATAATTTTCTGTTAAAATTGCCTTATTACACCTGATTTTGCTCTTATTTAGTAAACGACAGAAGGTTTTCGTCTGCTCCTTTCTTAGGTTTCAGAAACAGGTTTCCCCTTCCAGTGTGGTTTTCTCCCTCCATAAACTCCTTTCCCAAGTGTAACCACTTCCCGTGGTTTCTCCTTCAGAAACAGCCTGTCTGCTCTTGGGTCTCCATGACATGACATCGTCATTCTGCCCCAGATGACGGGATCCCACCTTCTCCAGGTATCTTAGAGCATGATTTGGCATCCTGACATGTACAAGAGACGTTCTTGTTCTCCTACCTGCATGATCATTGCCAATGTTGAATTTTACCTGAGCCTGGTCATCCCACACAAACAGAGATGGCTGAGAAATCCCTTCACGCTTTTGTCATCCGGGAAACAGCTGCCCCAAAGAACCCTCCTTCCCCATGGGACTTAGCTAAGACTCTGGGGTTCTCCCCTTGCCTACCTATGACAAAACTCAACACAGACCACCAAGTTCCATTCTTTAAATTTTTGTTTTTATTAGTCCGTGTTCACAGCACATGACAATTACGTTCTTTGTGGGGAGTCGGTGCATGTATATAACACATCTTAATTCTCTTCTCCTCCCCCTCTCCCCGCCCCCTTCCCTTTTGCAAAAGATCCATCTGCCTATTTCCTATTCTCTATCTTTTATTTTACTCTTTATTTACATTTTGTGTTTCTCATACGAGAGAAAACATGCGATATTAAAGCTTGTGTGTCTGATTTATTTCACTTAACAATACGGTCTCAAGTTATAACCATTTCCCTACAAATGACTCATTTAGCCTTCTTTATGGCACAGGAGTACTCCATTGTGTATAAATACCACATGTTCTTTATCCATTCATCTGTTGATGGGCATAGAGGCCACTTCCAAGATTTAGCTATTATCAATTGCGCTGCCATAAACATGGGTTTGCATTTATCTCTGTAATATGATGTCTTTAACTCTTTCGAGAAGATACCTAGAAGGGGAATAGCTGGGTCAGATGGAATTTCTAGTTCTAGTTTTTTGAAATATCTGCATACTGATTTCCATAGTGGTTATACTAGTTTACATTCCCACTAACAATATAGAAAAGTCCCTTTTTTCCCCCAATCTCACCAGTGATTGTTGTTTTGTGAGTCCTTGATGATGGTCATTCTTCCTGGAGTAAAAAACCTTTCTGGAGTAAGGACTTTCAGTGTTGTTTTAATTGCATTTCTATAAAGGCTAGTGATGCTGAACATTTTTTATTTATTGACTAGGCATTTGTGCTTCTACCAAGTCCTATTTTCGTACTCAAAAAAGATTCTCTGGTCTGCTTGTCCCCACAGATCAATTGGAACAAAATGCTTCCTAACCAAACTTGGGTCAAGTTTCTCCCCTTTCCCAGGCCCCTGAACTTGAGTCCCTCAGCCTGGGCAGCATTCAGTGCCTCCGAACACAAGCCAACATCTGGGTGAAAGATTCTCTGATCCACTGTTTCCACTTCCTATGCTGGGTCTTTCCAGCTTTTTGAATCCTCCCTTCTGCTTAACTGCTGAGCCAACTCTTGAAAAAAGCATGATCCCCTATTGCAGAAGCCCCTCTCCTTTGCAATAATCATTTTGAATAAAGTCTCTCTTTCCTAAGCACAGATTTGTTTTTTCATCTGACACCAACATCCAGGGGTGTGTCAGTGCTGCAGCTCTCAGCCAAATTCATTGTATCCCATATGAATTAAGGCTACTCAATCCCAGAATGAACTGAGGCTCCTGGAAATTAAGACAGGCAATAACATGATTTTGTTTAGGTACTTTCAAAGTAAAGAGCTTTTCATTTTGTTGGCCTGAAAACACAACCAAGCTTGTATCATCCAGAAATATGTTTCTATGTATAAAGTATATTCATGTTTATTATATTTTCACACACTGCACATTATGCATAAAAATGATCTCAAGAAAATAAAGCACTGTAGTACTCACATCCTCTTCTCAGGCTACTAATTAGAAAGGGGTAATTTATCTCCTCCAGAAGCAACAAACAAGATGCCGAAAGGGAGTGAAAACCAAAGCTAAGAACGCTTTTCATAGAGTGACTTGGAAGTTGACTGTGTCCACTGGTTTGTGCTTGATAAAGTTATATCATTTTCCCATGAGACTATACTTATTACGAACTCCATTTCTCACCAAGAGCAAGAAATAATATTGAGCAAAGACAAAATAACTCACAACAGAATTGAAAGTGGAAAAGTCTTGGTGTAGTTTATCTTTTCTCATCTTTTCCGGTGGAAATGTTCTACCACATGCACTGTTTTAAACAAAGGCCTGTGTGGGAAAAGAAACAAAAAACAAAGAGAAAAAGACCACTGGTTTCCATTTTCAGGGCCCATGAGAATAGCAGAAGACATGAGTGAAACCTTCAGAATGCAAGGATAAATTGGCTACTCAAATAGAAAATAAATATATGGAGTACTTTGGTGTGCGGTGCTGAGAAAGTAAAGCTTCATGAGGTTATTTTAACTTCATTCTAATAAAGTTGGGTGTCCCATGGCTATTTTTGTGAAGAGAGTAATATTTATTTTTCTTTCCTCTTAGAGAAATAACTGGTTACATGCAGCAAGAAGGACACCAGCTCTGTGACTCAGCCAGAGGAGAAAGATTTGGGAAGTACAGTACCTAGTTTTATCAGTCCAGGCAACAAAACTTTATAAATGAGTTTCCACAGAAGTGCAATCTTCCTGGTGACATCCATGGACCCATTCATGGTTCCCTCTCCATATTATGGTCATAGAAACACGTATTGCATTCTGCCTTTTGACAAAGCTGGTTCTGCTTACTCCCTGCCCTCAAGTGTCCTCACATGCACTGACTGTATGAAGATCACTATAATAGTGACCACCTATCAGTATTTGTTTGCCAGGCACTCTACTTAGTGCCCCTTACAAGCAACCAAAGGGAGGTCGGCCAATACGCATGAGGAATCTGAGGCTCAAAGAGGTTAAGCAAGTCACACCAGTGTGAAGGAAGTAAGAACATAAACCAGGATCATCCAGATCTCGGTCGTCTAGTACCTACCTTCCTGGGCCACGAGATCTGGGGCCTATACTACATGCTGTGTAAATAATCTTTCATTAGTTTCTGTTCTCTCTTGTCTCAACTTCCACAGCTGATGAATCCACAGTCTCACACACACACACAAATGCACACACACATACACACAAACACACCCCAAATTATGCAACACTGATCAGGTTGCAATTCAATCTTAGATTAGAGTCTTTGTCTTTTGGGTTGACTTTGCACCTCTCTGCACAAACCCATGCTACCAAAAGACACTTTTCCCTTCCTTTTCTTGCAAGTGCTTGATATGAATCCCTCCAGGTCACTTCTTTGTGTTCTCTATTCTAGTGGCATGGAGAAAAACAACAATATTCCAGACAGATCACCATGGTTACAGCAAGCAGGCTACTACAAGTTGAATTGAGTCTTCCACAAAAGATATGATGAAGACCTAACAAACCCCCAGTACCTGTGAATGTGATCTTAGATGTGAAAAGGGTCATTACAATTATAATTAGTTAAGATGAGATTGTGCTGGAATAGGATGGACCCTTAATCCAAAAACACTGTGTCTTTTTTTTTTCCAGTACTGGGGATAAAACCAAGGGCTTTGCACACACTAGGCAGTTGCTCCATCACTAAGCTCCATCCCCAGCCGCTGTTCAAGATGAGAATGTCATGTGAAGAAAGACACACTGGAAAGGGATAGTTACAAGAAGGCATAGGCAAAGATTAGAGCCAAGAAAGGCCTGAAGCCACCAGAAGTTGGAAGAGACAAGGAAGAACCCTCCTGTAGGTTTCAGAGGAAGCATGGCTTTGCCAGCACCATGGTTTCACACTTCTAGCATCTAGAACTGTGACAAATAGGGCTTGTCTTTTAAGCCACCACGTTTGTGGTACTGTTTTGTTCTGGCAGCTCCAGGAAAGTAACACACAGAGTGACCTACAGCAGCTGGAAACAAATCTATTAGCCTAGAGGCTTCTGTGTTTGTTAGCTGCAGTATGAGACAAGAGTCTCCAAGCTCTGGGCTAGAGGAAGTAGATAATTTGTTGACTAAGAAGATTTCTTCTCATTAAATCACTAAGGGAAAACCCTGCTTTAATTGGTATTTCACTAGGAGTTGGCAAGAGCAGGCACCTGATCTAAAAATGTTCTGGAAGTACAAACTGGAGGGTGACTGTCAATTGCCTTCTATCAGGAAGGATAAATATTATATTTGTTTGTCTCTGTTCCCAACTGAAATATACCAATGTCCCTCTAAGCATGAGACGTTGATAAACTTTTAAAGCCTAAAGAAATAGAATGAAATGAGTTAGATAATCCAAGATTCTTATATAATGGAGATAGAAAATAATACTTCAAGGATTTGGTTCTCATAAAAGTTCACAGAGCAAGATAGACACACAAAAGGGTGGTCTCCAACTCCAAGTCTAATGCTATTTTAATAAACAGGAAGGGAATTTAAAGCTAAAAATGGCTCACGGTATACCACCAAATCTTACCTTGTGGAATAAAACTTGTAGAATTTCCTTGCTGTAACAGTAAGCTCCATCTCACTTTCCTTGAATCATTGCATGTGGGTGAAATAATTCAAGAAAAAAGAATGAGAAACACTTTTTCCTTGGAAATGGGGGTGGGTTCTTCCCATCATGTGTTTCTAATTATTTTTCAATGTAAGCTTTAATATTACTCAGATTTTGTGCTTCTGACATATCAGGAGATGATGATCTCCAATTGTATGCTATTCTCACAGACCCCCAAAGGAAGGAGCCAGCCACGCCACACAGGGCCATATGAAAAGAAACCAGGCTTGGTCAGCAGGGCACAGGCAGACTGGAGATGCAGCTCAGAAGCACACAACCTTGCGACAGCCACTTGCTATTCCCCAAGATCCAGCAAAACAGAAAATAATTAGACTCAATGGAACTTTAAAAGTAATTTAATCGTGATTAGTATCCTTTTCTCATAGGAGGCAAAAATAAATAAATAAATAACCCTGTCTCTTCTCTCTAGAATGTAGTGGACAAATTTTGTGCAAATGCAAAAAACACCCATTGAATGGTAAGCTGCTCCAAATCTCTTTTCAGAATTCCATGTACATATTCCATGGAATATCTTGATACAAGTTATAAGCTAATGAATTGACAAAGGAGCTTAGGAATGATAGGACTGTAGAAAACACTGTATATTGATTGCCTTTGTCTGCAAAACTAACCCGAGCAATCAGAAGCCCTTTATTGACTCCCTTTAATTTCCATGGCAATGTAGTTAAGTGCATATATTCAATAAGAATCTGTCTTTGTGATGAGGTTATTGGATAAAACAAATTTGTAACCATTCCAGAAATGTCTTATTTAAATCCAGGCTTGACCAACCCATTATTAAGGAAAAAGGACTAAATACTTCATGTGCAGAAATGATGCCTACAAAATCCTCCTGGAAAACTGCTCCAAGGCCTGCACTGTAGCTTACAGAGTCCCAGGCTCACAGTGAGTCAAGTCATACACTTTTTCACCAGTAGGACAAGCAAACATGAGGACCAGAAAGAAGATAAAGCTTACAGTTTTGAGGTCCTGCAAAGGAAAAACCTGGCAAGCTTTCTTGTTTTTTGGACTGGAAATGGAGCTTATTCCTGGCATAGTAAGTGAGCAAAAGTATCACGCCAGAGAGGCAAGAGATTAGGGGATGAGAGACTGGCTGAGCAAAGTGAGTGTGACCTGTTGATCATGAACATCAAGGAAATGAGCGGAAAAACATTTCTCAAAGCCCTGCACCTGGGACCAATCAGAGAACGCTGTCTTCAATTCTTCCCACAAGAAACCCAGCAGGTTTTTGATAAGATGGCCTAGATCTGACGTCAGCCTGAGGAGTGGGGAGATACAAAAGACAGTTTCCATTAAGCTCTTGGCCACTGTGTTCTCTTTCACGGTGCTCCACTCTTTCCCTATAGAGTGTAACTCTTTTCCTACTTTTAATTGGCCTGACCTCATTCTACAGAGCATGTTTCTTTCCCTGCCTGTAATAAATGTAAAACCTCACTACTTTTTACACTTGTTTTGACCAATTCTTTGTTCAGAACAAGAAGAACCTAGAAAGGATCTCTAGAAGGAGTTCCCAGCACCCTAGGACCCAGTAACACCAGACCACTTGTAAAGGAGTCCCATACACAATTTCATGCCTGAACTCCCACATCTCATGAACAAACACAAGGAGGAGATCTTCATGTAATCTGCCTCACTTCTTTTTGTACCTATGTAAATCAAATAAAAATAGAACATCAAGTTAATTATACTAGACTTGAAAAATCTAAAACACTTGGCCAAATTCATGTCTTTCTGGTAGAATTCACTCTGAAAGAAAAGTGAATGTCATCAAAAACAAAATGGAGTCACCATGTCAACCTTGACCAAAAAAAAAAAATTAAAAGCAGTAATAACAGAAAAAGAGTTCTTACATGTAAATTGCCTGATAGAAATTATTACAAAAGACTGTGCCAAAATTGCAAGTTTGTACAGCAGCTACACAACCTTATACAAAAACTACTTTTTTAGGGACAACCTTAGACTGACATGGCTCTTGTTGCTATTCATCATGCTCAAGGATTACCGTTTCAAAATATCTGGCGCAATAACAGTCCTCATTTTTGTCTTTAAAAACTTGCCCTTAAAAAAAAAAAAAAAAAATTGCCCTTGCCTCCATCTCTGAATATACCCATAGTTTACTAGAGCAGTAAATTGCAATACTCCGCTCTTCCCAAAAACACAGCAACATTCTTTGGAGAATCTCTGATCATTTTGCATTTAGGTTGACAGCTCATAAGATGTCCTGAAAAAATAAAACCGACAACAGCATTCTTAACTTAGCCCAGTCTGATGTGAGAGGGTAGCAGGAAAGATTTACATGTTTGAAAGCCAAGCATTCCCTGAGATAAGCCTTGAATTGCAGGCCATTGCAAAGCCTTACAGCCTGAGATAAGCTGTGATCCTCTTTTCCCCATTATCATAGACAGGAGTTTAAGTCAAAACGGGACTGTCAATGACCATATAATAACTTAAACTATAGATAAAGCCTTCTCATTATTCTGGGAGCCCAGTTTCTCTGAAATCTTGCTTCAAGCAAGAAAAACTTAGCTAGGTGGTCAAAATTTGTCTGAGTGTTTTTATTATTGGAAAGGATGGATTTATTTTTAAAAGAAAAAAATAAAAATTGAATTGGGTGAAATAAATACAATTAAAAGAAAGTTAACTACTCAGCCAAACAAAATAGTTTGTAGAGCTTTTACTGTAGAGAAAAAAAGAACTAGAGGTGGATAGTAAAGTGGTTCAAGTGGATTTTACTCAGGAACCATGCAGCATAGAACTGGTTCCATTCTAAATGCAGTCCAGACAAGTAAAGGTTTATAGCCAAGGAACAAGGTGTGATCTCAGTGGATGGAAAATTACTAGGAGGAGCCATCGGTGGATGTGCTAGAGGTAGATTCTAGTTAGATAGACCTAACACATTTGGCCATTTCTGCTGCCTAGAAGCTGAAAGGTTATAAGGAAATCTGCAATGGCCTGTAGGGCAGACATGTAGGCTCAGCCAGGGGCAGGTGATATTTGCCAGGAAGGGAGCCAAGAAAGGGAGAAAAAGGAAAGGAAATGTGGGAGGGACTAGGGAGGCCAGGAAGGAGAAACTAGAATGCACAATATGTTGGCTTCTAGCACTTGCTGAGTTCCTGGTTATTCAGGTTCCTCCTTGGTAACAGCCTAGAGTTAGGTTTCCACACTAGGGTCTTCTGCAAAATCTGGCAGCTACATATGAGCAGGTTCTCAGAGCCCCTGGGTTATAGATATAAGTCAGCTTGAACTGTGGATGGACCTATAATCAGGATGTTAATAACACCTGCTCCTGGTTGGCTGTAAATCCCATAAGGATGGGCTCAGAGCTGCCTTGTTCCCTACGGGATCAACAATACCTCACTGCTAGTAGTTAGGATGTATTTGATGAATGAATAAAAGAAAGCAGAAATTAATGCATCCTGCCTTATTTAGGGCTTGTGAAATGCAAGTAAGATCCTCTGTGCTTTATAAACTCTACTTCTCTGCAAATAATAGTTAAAAATAATTAGCTGTTAGTATTATTCCCAGAGCAGTGAAGGCATGGTTTATCATGAAAATTAAAATGAACCCTATTTATAACAGAAATCATTCCTCAGAAAGAACACATTTTCCTCAAATGATAAAAATGGAAGAAATCCCTTATTTCGAAAGGCCCAATATTTACATCACTTGCATATGATACTAAATAAGCATATTTTATATTAAAAATATCAATACTAGGCCCACGCCCTACCAAGGTCCCAAGTCGCGGGGAACATGCCGAATCAGCCCACTGCAGACAGGCAGGTCTGCGCATGCCCTATCAAGGTCCTGAGTTGCACGGAACAAGCCAAATCAGCCCACGCCCCGGAAACAATCCACTGGACCCCTCTCATTCCTCTGTACAGCCACCTGGCTCCACACTACAAAGACACAGAGGACACCGGACCACCAGACCATGGTACTGAGTCCCGCTGCTCCCGGCCCAGAGGTAGGGGCTTCTGAGCCACCATCCCACTGCTCCTGGTCCAGGGGAAGGGGCTTCCTGTCCACCATCCCTCCCACTGCTCACAGCCCAGAGGAAAGGGCTGTTGGGCCACCTTCTGTCCCGCTGCTCCTAGCCCAGAGGAAGGGGCTTCCAGGCCACCGTCCCTCCCACCGCTCCCGCCCCAGAGGTAGGGGCTTCTGAGCTGCCATCCCACTGCTCCTGAACCAGAGGAAGGGGCTTCTGGCCACCATCCCTCC